GTGAGGACCAATATGACCAGGTGAGGATCAGGTAAGAGCCGACTGGACCAGGTGAGGATCAGGTAAGAGCCGACTGGACCAGGTGAGGATCAGGTAAGAGCCGACTGGACCAGGTGAGGATCAGGTAAGAGCCGACTGGACCAGGTGAGGATCAGGTAAGAGCTGACTGGACCAGGTGAGGAGCCTGTAGATCAGCTGGGGGACGTGAAGAACTTCCTCCTGATCTCAGGCTGCTCTCTAAGTTGAAGAAAACAAAAGTTCAAAGATCAAAAACCTCAAACCATCAAAGTCCAAACCACTCTGGGTCCTGGTTCTCCTCCTGCAAACAGAACCAGGGTTTTCTCAGAACTTGGACTCATTGGGACCTGGTCTGTGGTGGTCTTACGTTCTGCTGGAGCTGGTCCCCGGGTTCATCAGGCGGTCTCTCACAAACTCTTGGCTGGACAGCTTGTAGAAGTTTTTCTGCTCTGGGGACATCAGCGGTGGAAAAAAACGACCTGAAAGAACCCGGGACAGGACCATCAGACCCAGAACCAATCTGAGGACCAGCGYTCCAAAGCTGGGCTCTCCTGACATCAGAACCAAACCTGTGCTGGACTCTCCAGGTCCTTCTTTATGGCTCATCTTATTGGAGCAGGACGGGTTCTGATCCATGTGGGCCATCAGGATCTGTCTCCAGTGGTCCTCAGGGAGGGACAGCAGGTGAAGGACAACCTGAGAACATGATCAAACACCAGTTCTGATCCGGGTCACTGAGGACACCAGAACCAGGTCAGTACCAACCCGCTGACAGCTGGACCTGGACACGGACCTTGGGCTGGACGGCCGTGTCCCTCATGATGGTTGTTGGAGTGGGCTCCGACATCCCATGACCCACTATGGTTGGTCCAAACACCCGGGCCAAGTTGTTCTGGTCCATTTGGCACTTGGGGCTCCGCATCACCCTGAGACCCACAGTTAGATCTGGTTCAGTATCTGAGGTCCTGGTCCACTCAGCAGACCTGGGACAGGTTCTTACTTGTGGAAGTGAAGCATGAGGAAGGCCAGCGTGTCTCTGTTGGGCCCGGGCAGCTCAGAGATGACCCGGTACAGGACAGCAGTGGCGCTGGACTCGTCCAGTTCTGGAACACAAAGACACTTTGAAGCACGTCCTCGGTGGTCTTCAGCAGCCAGAGGATCAGACTAGACCAGAGATTCTTAACCCACGGGTGAGCGCCACCTTGAGGGCCTCAAAAGAACAACGGTTTTTAACTTTGGGCCACAGAGGGCCGTGGGACTGCATTGATTTTGAACAAGGTGTAATACAGTTTCTCACCACTAGTAGCAGTAGTGCACCACTCAGATGTTTAACAACTTTTTAATATGTAGAAGAAGAACCTTAGCTACCTGCCTTGAGTGGAAACTTATTTTAAATAAAAAGCAGAAACAAAAATAAAGGTAACATCAACAAAMCCAAAGTTTGTCACTAATATGAAGAGCAGCTTCTGGTTCTACCATGTAAAAGTTTAAAAAAGCTTTATTTTCAAAAGTATTTTTATTTGAAACATTTACATTGAACATGTTGAAAGTATATATTTTATGACCACATTTTATTTATTGAATTGTTTATTTTTGTTGTTTATGTTAAAATCTATATTTCAGTGTTGATAAGCCTGAGTGGTCTGTTGACAGTTATGGTCAGGTTACAATATAAAAC